GGAGGCTCCGGGGGGGCTGGAGGTCTCCAAACCAGCGTCATGGTTAAATCATGGAAACTGCCACGATGGGAACGGTTTTGGATATCCTGCTTAACAAGAGGCTAAAACGCAGGCGACCCCAGGATGTACCTCCAAGGTACTGCCCCATATTTTACCTTCAGAGGCTTCAAAAAACATTGTGAACGTAATTATATTCCCGGTCCCGTTGAGATCACGATGAGAACTTCTTCAGCTACCTCCAAAACCTCCATCATTTTGAGTTGGGCCTCGAAACACCTTCAGTAAACCTCAAGGGAGGTTAAAGCATCTTCCCTTGATGCAAAATAACCCCTTAACCTCCCCATTCAGAAAAGCCCCAGCCCCCGGGACGGTACCGCTGGGAAACGGGAGCCGTGCAGCCGTTACGCACGGCACAGCCACCGCGGAAACGCCTCCGCGGTGACCAAACCTGATCGGACGCGATATTTGGGGAGCAAGTTTTGTAGAGAATAAATATCACACTTCAATTTCATGGTCACTTAGGAGGGTTTACTGGCAAATACCATGGTTTCTACATGGTTCTACCAATTACCGAGCAATTATATATAACCTAGATCTGGAGGACACAGAGTAGCGACGTAATGTATTCCTCTCTGCGTTGAGAAGAAAAAGGCAGTTAATAGAAAACACTTTTTTTTTTTTAATATTATAAACCCCTCCACAATATTCCTGTGTGACATTATTAAAACTCCACATCAATATCAAACCCAAAGCAAAGACTGCCATCCCATTAACACATCAGTTGTGGAATGATCAATAAAAATTTACTTTAAACTGCGCCATATGTCGCTCCCCACAAAGTTTTATTATTCAGATGCATCCGTTTGTACCTCAACCCCCGTGCAATTAAATCTCATTTAGCAGCACTGACCTTCTGATTTGAACCTGCCATTCCTACAGCTGGTTTGGAGTTTAACAGCACTTTTAAATAATGAAAACAAAATGTCTGTGAATTAACGGTGGGGTACAGGGAGCCCTCCACCGGGAAAGCCCTCCCGTGCCGCTGCTGGTGGCACAGCTCCCACGCTGGAACAGGGAAGGGGGGGGAAAAGCAGGGGGAAAGGAAAAAAAAAGTGCTGGCACATTTTAACATGTTGTAGCATATTTGTAAACATCGTTAATCACGGATTAGCAGATGGTAATGTTAATTGCACCTGTGGAAGTAACAAGACCTCAAGGTTGATTACATTTACAGACTCGGATGAGGGCTGCGGAGGATTCCCCACCGCCGGCGAGGAAGGTGCCCCGGCCGCTCCTGCCCCAGCCCAGCAGCATCCCACGCTGCTCCCTTCAGCCGTGGTACCACCTCGAGCTTCCCGAAGACAAAGGTGTTCTCCGTCCCAAAGCCCTTCCAGCCTTGGCAAACCATGTCGCGACCCAGCGATGGATTTGCTGGAATGGGATTTTTTCGGTGGTGATGATAATCTGTGCACAAAGCCAAGATCTGGGGCACGAGCTGAGCTTTTCTCGCGGCCAACTCTCCCTGGAGTTGACTTTTGGGGAAAAAAAAGATTTGGACAGAAAAAGAGGACAAATATTTTGCCACTGTGCTTAGAGACACTTTGACTATTGAGGAATCATTTTGGAAGGGCAATTACTGAATTTTAAAATCAATTTGGTAAATAAGCTTCTGAAAGGAATCCATGGCAAGCAGCAGGGAGGGAAGAATTGACTTTCAAATTACACACACACACTTTATTCGTATCTAAATATCAAAGAGACTGTATGTACAAACAGAAGTAATCAGGAAGCATGTTTTGATCTTGCTGATGTACACAAAAAAAGACAATTAATGTCCTCCTTTATGATATAAAGCTGGGAGTTTTTTTACAGTTACATTACAGGGACGATTATAGTCAAGCTTAAGGCTAAAAATAATGAAGGACTATAAAAACTACATTTTAACATTTAAAAATACCCAGGAAATTAACTGGAGAAGCAGGCAATGATCCAATTAATGGACCGCATTTATTAGATCGGGGCAAATCGCACAGCACAAAGCTCCATCTCCAGAGGTGTGAGTGTGCAGAGGTTCCCGTGCTCTCCCGGGTCTCAGCCCAGAGCAGGGTGGAGCTGGGGCTGAAGGAGAAAGCATCGGCCATGGCGGATATACCCAAAAGCTGGCTGGGTGACGGCAGAGGGGGATCCCAGTGAAACAAAGCAGGGCCAAAATTTACCACGGAGGAAAATGGGCTAAATACAAACAGCAGAGCCATCCGGAGTGGGATTTACTGCACTTGCAAAAGCCTGCGTTGCAGCTCTCAAGCAAAGAAGTCTGAGCTGCAGCCGCAGTTAGGCATGCAAGTTCCTGCCTCTTAAAATTCAAGCCTTGTGCAACTCCCAACAAGCCTTCTCCGATACTCCAGTGTCACACCAAGGTGCTCCGTGGATACGGCGGCTCTATGGAGAAATTCGCAGGGGAATCGCGATGGCTGCTGGACTGAGGGACAAGCGACTGCGGGAACTTTGATCTACCTCACTCACCCCATCAGCAGAGCCGCTGCGGTCACTGAGGTTTCAAAGCTTTTTGGGACCCTTCCAGAAGTAAATAGCCACTCCATCGTTACTCACCTTCCTCCTCATTAGAGGGGTGAGCCGGCACAGCTAGGCACAGTCTGAAAGCGCCCGGCTTTCCCAAACACACGCAAACTCTGTGAAGTGCCTCATCTTGTTAAAGTACTACTCAAATAAATGAAGAACGAAGAAACTGGAGTTCCTATAAAATCGGAAAAATATATATACTTACCTACAGGTGAAGAATAAAGAAATGGCTTTATCCTCATCCCTGCTGCTCGAAAGGAAGGATTCCGTTAGCCCCAAGCGCTGAATCCTTCCTCTGAAAAACGAGCAAATCTGAGCCACGGGCACCCTCTGCTGGGGCACCCACGGCTGTGGGAGCAGAGCCAGCGGGGGCCCGGCCCGCAGCCTCCCTGGCCCCCGGCCTTTTTATCTCAGCATTAAAATAAAAGACACATTCAGCTCACAAAATGCAAGCGCGACACACCCGCCCGAGAGCTGTCGCCCCAGCAAGGCACCAGTTCACTGTTATTCAGTGACCAGCTCACCTTCAGGCCCGAGCACCAAAGCCCTGCTCGCAGAACAGCCATCATTTGGGGATGATTTGGGTTTTCTCCTTTTCCACCGGAGAGGGCAAAAGGGCAGACACAGCTCAGGATACGTACCACTGTGTCAGCACCCTCTCCATCATGGCCGCAGACACAGAAGTGAGTGCTCAGCACCTCTGAAAAGCAAAAGCTTTCACGGCAAAGCTGTGCAGGATGCCAACCGCAAGCCAGGAGGGCACAAATCTTCCTGTGGGGCTCCTCGAGGACCCCCAGCATGGCATGGGGGCAGCCGCGACCCCGAGACACCTCTGTGGCCACCGCACAGATGTCTCCGAGCAGGGGAGGGAGATAAGACCCCAACTGGGCAATCGGCTGCACGAGAGCCCAGCGCCGGCCACCGCGCCTGCCCTTCCCTCGCAGGCTGGGCAAAGTCCCCGGAGCTCCACCGGGCAGAGCCCCGTGCTCCGTCCCCCAGCCTGGGCACCTGAGGCGTCCCCAGCCCCACAGCCACCCACCGGCCAGGGACCCATCTGAAAAACCTCCACATCCACAGACGGGTTTACAGACTTCATTTAGCTCAAAGGAAAGTCCTAATTAGTCACTCAGAGTGATTTACTTGTTCATTTGGAAGGGGGGATGGGGAAGACTAAGCTGAATTGTTTGAAATTATCCCTAAAGGGCACTGTAAATTAAGTGTTAATGAGGAATCCTATGCAAAGGGCCACAGTAGCTAAATAAAATAATTAAGGTGCTAAGTGATAACATTCATTTGGTTCTCAATAATTTAGCCAGCCTGGTTTTCAACCAGGATATTTGCAAATGAAGTCACCCGCATCCCCCGCTCCATGCCATCAGTGGGGATGGTGGTGCTGGGGCAGCTCAGCATCCAGTAGGATCAGGCCCACCATGGAAAGGACACTTCCCTGGAAGAAGAGAACAAGCTCCTGATTACCTTTCCCACCCGAAGGAAGTGCTCTGTTCCACTAATTACTCTGGATTTATATATGACATGAAAAGGATTGATTTGAGTCTACAACCAATCTTTCCAGAGGCTTTATTTCAATGAGCTGTGTTTCTCCCCACTACAGCTGTTTTCCAACAGCTCATGTCCATCCTTTGGCAGGGCTGCAGACCTGGTTTACAACCAAATAGAACACGGTGTTTTCAGACATTCAAGCAGCAATATGTAACAGAGAAACCGCCTTGTCATGAAGAAATTCCTACCCAGTAGTCCCAAATCACACCTGGTTCTCACCAGCACCCTTTCGGCTGCTACAGGGGCAGTGGGCTCGGGCACGGGGCACAGGGAGGGGGACAGGGCACGGCTGCTCTCAGCAGCAGCACCAGTCAAGCACTCACTCTCCCCTACAGCATGAGCAGTGTACAAAGTCCCCCGTGCAACAAGCACGCAGCCGTCAGCAGGTATTTTACTGCAAGAACTGAAGCATTTGGCTGTCTGCTTTTAAAACCCAGCTGTGTCTCCCTTCCTTACAGCCGCTCCTCCGAGGTGCCGGTGGGAGGTGTTACCTAGTACCTGCAGGTGCCTGACTTCAGCGTTAAGCCAGGTACTGTGCGTCAGCCAAGATGCAGCTCAGGTCAATGAGGTTCTCCCTGTAACTTCCAGTGATGGTGAAGACCCTGGAAAGGGCACTTCCATATCCACACCAACAGAGCACAGCCATGAAACGCCGAGCGGTTTCCCCCACCAAATAAAAAAATATTTCAATCACCGTGCCTCAGCTTTTGGCTGCAGATGGAGTGCAGGAGAATACCTGTGGGAAAAAAAAAGTGAATAAATGAAAAAGATCTTTTTTAAACCACAAGAAAATTGTTCCACGTGCCTGAATGTTTGTTTGATTTTTAAATACAGAAATTTGGACTATGACGCCTTTGTGCTCAGAACTGTTCTTACCAGTAGCAACAGAGACATTCAGCGACTCGATTCCAGGGTGAAGCGCTCTGCCAGGGGGTATGGCCAGCATCTGATGGCACAAGAGCTGGGTCTCTAGGGAAAGTCCGTCACCCTCACTACCTGCAGAAGACAGACATTGCTCAGGTCAGCTCACAGCCACCGCCACGTCCCTATTCACCCCCCTCTGGAGTACAGTTCTTGCTAATGCTGCATCACAACTACACCCTTGCCCCTAAGCTCACCAGCTCCCATGCAGCCAAGAACTGACAGAAGTGAGATAGGCACCTTACCTGCCTTCCGTTCCCGGCCCACTCCAGCCTCCCCAGATATGTTCTCCAGTATCTGAAGTGTTTTTGAGGAATACCCGTGCAACACGCCTGCAAGCACAGCGTAAAGCGCAGAGTCCTGTAGCCTGGGCGCAAAGATCCCCTGCGCAAGCAGCCACCGTGCCAGCGGGCTGCTGCCAGAGGGACGAGCTAGACGAAGCCACAGGCCCGATCTGGTTCCACAAATCCCACATCCCTATTGATAGGGACGTGTTCAGCCTTTTCAGCACACAGTACCACCAGCTGGGTGCAACTTGTGAATGCAGACAGTTTAACCAGAGGCTTCAATTGATTAGTTGTTAAACCATCCAACAGCCCTGATATGTTTGGGCTGATACACTGGTGAAACAGAGTTGAAATCTATCCCAGGTCATTAGTAGTTGTTTGACTCACACTGTCACAAAGGGAAATGGAAAGGGAGAGGTTTTAAACAATCCTGCGTGCAGACAAGTGAAAATGCAGAAGACCACAGACCTCCCAGCCCGCTCGGCTCCCCAAAGAATCCTTCCACATTCATTATTTAGAGCTATACAGACAGCTACGCGGCTGCAAGAATAGCCAGCTCATTTCAAAGATGTGCTCGCCCTCTGACAAAACAGGCTCAGCATGCTGGAAGCCAAATATTGCCCTTCAACAGCCATACCCCAACCCAGCTGAACCCCCGACTCGTCCTGGGGCGGCACTGCCGGGGCACACGCTGCCTGCCAAGGGCTCTGTGCCTCTGCCTGCATGACCAGTGCTGTCACCAAGGACTTGCTCAAGCTCACTTAAATTTAGACCTGAATTTTTAACAGCATGCATGGATGCTTTAGGCACTGTCTGTGCCACTGGAGACTCACTCCTCTGTAAGGCAAACAAGCTCAGCTGAGCTACCACAAAACTCTTCCCCTGGTGCCTACTTACAGCACCTCCCCAGCAGGTCCCGTGCCCCGTCCCTATGTACTGATCTGTGCGACACCCCCCCGACCGCAGAGGGTAGGAGAATGCTTTATTCCCATTTCATAGGCTGGAAGCTGGGGCCCAGTCTCACGTTTTGCTGGCCTGATCTAACTGGCAAGATGCATTTTGTGCAAGCAAAAGAATGCTTTGGGTAATGCATCTTGCATCACCTTCCCACATGAAATAAGCCACACTGGCAAAAGCATCCTTTGGCTGGGGTAACTGAACCTTCAGAAAACCAAAATCCCACCCTAACCATTATTTTCTTCCATCTTTCTTTAAGCCAGACATGCAGCAAGACCTGGGTGAGTTATCCAAGGTCACATGGGAAGCCTGGGCAACACAAGGAATCAGAGCCAGGCCTCCCACAGCCCAGTCTGCCTCTTCATCACTAGATCGTGGCTCTCTAGGGATGCTTCAAGGAAAAAAAAAAAAATTATCCTACTTTTTCCTGATTCAACGCAGAAAAGTTTTACACCTTACAGCCATATTTCTCTCCTCAGCCTCTCAAACCACATTCTCGTGGGACTCTCCAACTGGGACAGCAGCTACTGCCAGAGGTATGACAGCTCCTGGAGCAATCCTCTCCTCTCTCTGATAAGGGTCTTACGATTCCTAATAAAGGCAGCAATTTTGTTTCTAGCTTTTACAAAGCTTTTTATGGCTCTGGCTGCTTAAAATAATTAGGAACCATAAATTCAGGGCAAAAGAGCCTTGCACAAAGTGTGACACAAGGGAGGGAGTATTGACTGCATCAGATTAAATCCTAGTTTATACTGGTGAACAAAACACTTCCCACTTCAGAGTTTTGACTTCCATCTCTTACCTTTTTCCCTCACTGACAGGCCTCAAAGACCAGGGTTAGAGCTTGGCTGAAATGATAAAATGGGTTTCCTGCCCCATTTACTATTAACACCACTGTAACAACTGCAGTTTCCAGTGAAAGAAGTTCAAATCCAGGCAGAAGCAGCCGTGCTGGCAGTTCAGAGAAATATGCAAAATTAGCATCTCAGTAAAAACACTAATTCCATGAACATTCTTAAACCCCAAGTTAAAGACTGAATGTGTAAGAACAAATTACCCAGAAACTCTTCTTGCTCAGACATCTAAGTGCTCCCAATCTGTTCCCGTTCGCACAAGGCTCCCAGTCTTCAGGGCAGCCAGCCTGCCTGTCACCTTCGGCAATGACTCCCGTGCAGACAACATTAAGCTGGACTGTCCAAATCACTCTCTGCCAAGCCAGCGAGGATGCCAGGAGGGTGAATTCAAGTCTGCAAATGCTTAACTTACAAGACAATCTGTGCGATGCTAGGAAGCTCACTACCATGCTAAATTATCTCTGCTGCTCTCTGCAGCTGCAGGTATGCTACATATTCAGATCTAGGACATTTCTTCAAACAACCTCAGCATCAGACTACTGTAATGTTCAATTTTCTTTTCAGCGAAGAGTTAGTGCTCAGCAGAGAGTTGAAATCATTACTGCTGCAAGGTCCGGGAGCTCTCCTCATGCATCTACCAATCAGCCTCCAATCTCCCTTGACAAAAGGATATTTGGACTTTTTCCTGGAGAAATCTCTCATAATTCAAGGTAACGACACCACTGCCACTTTCACCCCCTTCCTTTCTCCTGGTGTTGTCGTTTCTGGGATGCGTTTCTTTGTGGTCCACCAGCTGCACTGCCAGCCTCCCTACTCCCTTTATAATATAGCTCCACACATCTTGTAGAGACGCCAGATTTGTGGCGTTGTCTTGTCAGTATTTCTAGGAGTTCAATAAACATTTTAATTAAAGGAATGTCTTCTGAGCCAGGAAAACTGCAGCACGGGGCAGGATTACAGCCCCTTGACGGCTCATCACCAGCATGACACTACTTCCAAGTGTAGAAGTTCAAACCAGCCGGGTAACACAAAGTGCGGGGCTACAGCATGGCCACACAAGGGTGCCTAGAGCACCACTCCTAGGTGCATTTCTCTCTCTAGATGCCACAAGGCCATTACTCCCCTTCTCTTCACCTTCTGGGAGTCTGCACAAACCCAAACTCTGCCTACAAAAGACAGCATCCTTTGCAAGTATCCTTTACACAAAGAGTGGGCAGAAGCAAAGGGGCCTGTAGGAATCGCCCAGTTTAGGTGCTCAGGAAAGTGGCACCCGTTGCTCAAACAGCGCAGAGGTCTGGCAGGGAGGAAGGTTACACCTGCTCCTCCTGTCGGTGCTGCAGCAGCCAACAGCTCCTGCCTTCTCCTAGGTGTACAAAAGCAGCCACCGACTGGTCTCCGTGGTGATCTCTGTGCCACAAAGCCCAACTTTTGTGTTCAGACCATGCCCAGCAACAGCTCCTCATGCCTCTTTCCAGACCTAGGCACAGAGGTATACGGCTGTTTTTTTAAGCGGAATCATGACAAGAGCAAAGACATGGCACAGCTCACCGTTACAGCCTCCGCGCAGCAAGAGCAAACACGTACCTCCTGGGTCTCTCAGGTCTGTGGTACACCAACACAGAAATTCCAGGTTCTGGAATAGGACAGGATCAAAAGCACCACAGAAGACGATGCAAAACAACACGCTGTGGCTACACTGACCCAGACCTGTCCTGCCACTGAAAATTGCTGTCTAGACCCTCTGCAGCTACTAAACTCCCTGTTCATCTACGCAAACTGGTTTGTTCTTGCAGTTCCTACTAGGAGGCTTCTCGGTTCCCCCTCTTCTTTTGAGTCCCTATTTCATCTGCAGACAGATCATTCTAGTGCTTGTTGCTTAGCTTTTCTTTTCCAGACCAAAGCGTGTGTAATGCAACAGACCTGCAACTAGCTTTAGAGAGAAACATCGCCCTGATCGTTGCCTCACACATGCACTTCCACCCAGCCCAAAGCTCTATAAATTGAAATACCTATTACTATAATAACAGGTTTATTCCACTGAAATTCCAAACAACTGATGACAGGAACATTTTCCACCTCCTCAGGCTTACTGACTGTTCCCATGACTTTCCAGCCTTCTGCAGTTTTAGCCTAGAAAGGGAAAGGAAACAACGTTAAAAAATTGCCAACTTTTCAAGCTTAAAAAGAAAAATGTCATGTATGCAAACACGCTTTTAAAAAAATGTTTTCAGTTAAGCTACCAGGCTTTTCTAGGTTTTCTGGCATCCCTTGAATTTTTACCACCAAAGTCCTCCCAGTACCAGCACACA